TCAGTGATAAAATACGTTATTGACCGCGTATCTCCCCGTTATCACGTAGAAAACTTCTTGAGGATATTACTGCTGTAAACGAACAGCAAGCAGGTGTCACGATGATCATGTCAGTGAAACAGTTTTTATATGTAAACCATACTTACGGTTATCAGTTTAACTTATCACTTTAAAGTTACCCTATCGTACTTCAGGTGCGGTGCTACAGTAATTAACAGATACCATGTTTTGTTTAGCAATTCAGATTTTTCTTCGTTGATACAGTATATCGCTGAGTGATCGAATTGCTTTAAGGAGAAAAGAACTTCGTCTGTACTGTGTGCCAGAAGAGATTTATTCGAAGCGACCATCTGACGAAGCACAAAAGAACTCACTGTACACCCTGTTCAAGTACAACCGTGCCTGGAAAAATGCTGTACATCGACAGCCTTCCAATGGCATCGTCGTCGAAGACGAAAGTTGACGAAAACAACGTCAACGACTGTGACACCGCTGACGTTTCGACGACAGCGGCCGAAATAAAACTCGACGATCCAAACGTGCAGCGGTTGAATGTCAGCGATTTTTTGTTGTAAAGTGTTGTAATGCCACTGCTACCCTATCGTTATCGATCGTTTACGTGCCAAAAGAACCAGCCATGAAAACCGATGGGTTGTTGGACCCTCTGGACGCACTGTATGACGTGGCAACTGATCAGATCGCGCTGAACACTTGCTCTTAACTTCGACAAGCGTATCGAGCGATTCTTCAGTCAGTCATGATAAACAGTGCCATAGCTTATTTGCGCTTGCCTCACAAGATGTTATTCCGTTTTAAACTGTGGCACTGTCCTAATAAACGTACGTAAATGCGATGTTCCGCCTGCTCGTTAAAACAGTTTCTCAGTAAGGTGTATACGATTTTTTCGGTGCCGCGGCAACTGTGAAAACATCACTTAGATTTCGTAGCGCCTTTGGTAAAGGCAAATCATACCCTAAAACCAGCCGCATGCCTGCTTACCAGAGTAGTTTTTGAACATATAAACGCGCTGGCCAGACAACTACATTTACTGCAGCTGCAATATCGTGGAAGTAGCCGAGAGAGCGACGGGCATACATACATTCGCTATGGTAGAAAAACAAAGTTCAGACTCGTAAATAACAGCTCCTCATAAGCAGAACAATATATTTCGCTGACTGCCAACTTCCATAACGACAGTAGAACAACGTTTGATGGCAGAAAACCGAAAGCTAGGAAATAGCGGAAAGATTCATTTTTTCTTTCCTTGCAATCCGGCAC